ACTGTATGTTCCTCTGTGTCTGTGTCTCAAATGACACCCTATTCTCTGTATAGTGCACTACTTTAGACCAGGGCCCATAGTGCTGTGGTCAAAAGTAGTGCACTATATAGGGAATAGGGTGTCATTTGGCACACAATTCTTGCATCAGTCTCCAGGACAAATGTATCTGTATGATGTGGAATTATTCCGGAAGAAAATAAATACAACTAGAAACAACCCATTTATGTTAATAAGGGGAATAATGAAGGAGAATGCTGGAGAGTTCTGTGGGTTCCATTGTGTTCAGTGTTGGACTCCTCTTTCCAACAGCAGTAGGTCGTATCTCTTACAATAATGTAATTTTAAAAACCTGGCTACAGTTCTCTTCAACTGCTTTTTTGTTCAAGCTTTTGAATATCTTTTTGAACACCATAAAACGAAGCCGGCTCTCACGAGTGGCCACTAATTATGCAGGAGAAATGCTGGAAGTTCTGTGGGTAGTATTGTATTCAGTGGTGGACTCCTTTTTCCTACAACAGATGTTTTTTTGGGTTTTTTTTTCTTAAAATATTCAACTTTACCAGATAAATGTACCCCAAAAAAATGGAATCTGGAAAACTTGTCATGATTCGGAACAAATATGTAAATGTTATATTTCAACATATAGGTCATTAATTATTAGATTACAGGCAATATTATCCTGCAATTATCCTTTTTTAAAATATATATATAGGGCCATGCTCAGCTGTAAAGCAGTTATATCTGCGGTTCATATTCTGAACAGTACAGAGTGAACCGAACAATATGTAACAATTTTTAGCCATAAGTGATCAACATGATTAGTTATTAAGGACAAACTCCATGTGATACTCTGAAGATGCATTGTAGAGAACTCTGACCAACCAATCAGCGCGGCTTTGAAAGTTGCTAGGTTTCTCGTGGGCGTGGTTTTGCACCAAGTTTGGAGTGGATAAAAACAACGTCCAATTAACATTATTTCTATCAAATAAGAACCTATAGTAAAGTAGTGTTTCACATTGATCCTGCATTATGAGATATGCATTCAAATATATATTATATATTTATCATAGTATTTAATAAAAATATTACACATTTATCATATTGAAAATATATACAGTGCATTCGGAAAGTATTCAGACCCCTTGACTTTTTCCACATTTTGTTACGTTACAGCCTTATTCTAAAATGGATTAACTTGGGTTTTTTCCCTCATCAATCCACACACAATACCCCATAATGACAAAGCAAAAACAGGTTTTTAGACATTTTTGCTAATGTATAAAAACAAAAACTGAAATATGACATTTACATAAGTATTCAGACCCTTTACTCAGTACTTTGTTGAAGCACCTTTGGCAGCGATTACAGCCTCGAGTCTTCTTGGGTATGACGCTACAACCTTGGCACACCTGTATTTGGGGAGTTTCTCCCATTCTTCTCTGCAGATCCTCTCAAGCTCTGTCAGGTTGTATGGTGAGCGTCGCTGCACAGCTATTTTCAGGTCTCTCCAGAGATGTTCGATCAGGTTCAAGTCCGGGCTCTGGCTGGGCCCTCAAGGACATTCAGAGACTTGTCCTGAAGCCACTCCTGCATTGTCTTGGCTGTGTGCTTAGGGTCATTGTCTTGTTGGAAGGTGAACCTTCACCCCAGTCTGAGGTCCTGAGCGTTCTGGAGCAGGTTTTCATCAAGGATCTCTCTGTACTTTGCTCCGTTCATCTTTCCCTCGATCCTGACTAGTCTCCCAGTCCCTGCCACTGAAAAACATCCACACAGCATGATGCTGCCACCACCATGCTTAACCGTAGGGATGGTGCAAGGTTTCCTCCAGACGTGACACTTGGCATTTAGGCCAAAGAGTTCAATCTTGGTTTCATCAGACCAGAGAATCGTGTTTCTCATGGTCTGAGTCCTTTAGGTGCCTTTTGGCAAACTCCAAGTGAGCTGTCATGTGCCTTTTACTGAGGAGTGGCTTCTGTCTGGCCACTCTACCATAAAGGCCTGATTGGTGGAGTGCTGCAGAGATGGTTGTCCTTCTGGAAGGTTCTCTCATCTCTACAGAGGAACTCTGGAGCTCTCTCAGAGTGTCCATTGTGTTCTTGGTCACCTCACTGACCAAGGCCCTTCTCCCCTGATTACTCACTTTGGCCGGGTGGCCTGCTCTAGGAAGAGTCTTGGCGTTTTCAAACTTCTTCCATTTAAGAACGATGGAGGCCACTGTTTTCTTGGGAACCTTCAATGCTGCAGAAATCTTTTGGCACCCTTCCCCAGATCTGTGCCTTGACACAGTCCTGTCTCAGACCTCATGGCTTGGTTTTTGCTCTGACATGCACTGTCAACTTTGGGACCTTATATAGACAGGGGTGTGCCTTTCCAAATCATGTCCAATCAATTGAATTTACCACAGGTGGACGTGGACTCCAATCAAGTTGTAGAAACATCTCAAGGATGATCAATGGAAACAGGATGCACCTGAGCTCAATTTCGAGTTTCATAGCAAAGGGTCTGAATACTTATGTAAATAAGGTATTTCTGTTTTTTATCTTTAATACATTAGCAAACATTTCTAAAAACCTGTTTTTGCTTTGCCATTATGGGGTAATGTGTGTAGATTGATGAGACAAATGTTTTATTTAATCAATTTTAGAATAAGGCTGTAACGTAACAAAATGTGGAAAAGGTCAAGGGATCTGAATACTTTCCGAATGCACTGTATGCTCATGTTTACACTCCCTGTATGTATTCTTGATGAAGTCCAGTAACACATTCTCGGTTGACATTGACTTCAGTTAGTTCTGTAGTCCAAGGCTTGATGTTGATTTGATAACTGCTCTACATGCCTGCATGCTGTGACACAACACAAGTCTTGTTGGTGTTCCATTCTCAATAGATACACTGTGCTACAGCCACACTCTGTGAAGGGCTTAGATGAAATATCTTGAGAAGCATCACTTCAGATTATTAGCCTAACACAGAAAATAAACCTTCAGAGGCTCCTAAAACACAGCATCGACTTTAAAGGGCCAGTCACTTCCCATTGCCTGGGAATGAAGGCTGAGGAGAGGAGGCCTGGCCAATTGACAGCTTCCATTCAGGCTCTGTGTTGAGTACTCTGCAATCATACATTTGACATTTTAGTCATTTAGCAGACGGTCTTATCCAGAGCAACTTACAGTTAGTGAGTGCATACATTTTCATACATACAGTACATTGGAGACACGCATGCTGCATGAGACTTGACTGCTTAGCTTTAGCCGAGGAGTGTTATGATCACGCTGCAGTGCATGTATGTATGTATTTACAGGCCTTTGTAAATATTGTGTAAAATGTGTTTAATGAATGAAGCTGGTAAAATATAGCATATCATAGAAAATATAACAGCATTTAAAGCAATGAAAACAATTATGTTTTTACATGTATGTATATTGTATGTGTGTCAATTAATGTGGTAAAATATGAAACTAAACAAATAGCCTTAAATAATAATAATAATAATAATATGCCATTTAACAGACGCTTTTATCCAAAGCGACTTACAGTTAGTGAATACATATATATATATATATATTTTTTTTTATACTGGCACCCCGTGGGAATCAAACCCACAACCCTGGCGTTGCAAACGCCATGCTTTATCAACTGAGCTACCTCCCTGCCGGCCATTCATTCATAATGAATGGTGTTATAGTGTGTAGGAACTGTAGAAAGGGTGTCTAACTATAAGACAGTGGTTTCCAATCTTTTTCGGTTAATGTACCACCAACTGAATTTTGCTCTGCCCAGAGTACCCCCCTCATGTGCATTTTACCAGTAAGAATTTGTTCTTAACTGACTTGCCTAGTTAAATAAAGGTAAAAAAAATATATAACAAATATATAAAAAAAATAAAGGTCTATGGTCTCATGATTCTTCTCAAGTACCCCCTGTGGATAGACCAAGTACCCCCTGTGGATAGACCAAGTACCCCCTGTGGATAGACCAAGTACCCCCTGTGGATAGACCAAGTACCCCCAGGGGTCCTAGTACCCATGGTTGGGAACCACCGCTATAAGAAAATAGCCAAACAAATTGTAGTCTTCCAGGTAGCAGCGATTAGAATCATTATAATTTACTGTGAATATTTTATTGTCTTTTGTTACAATTAGACAATCTCACAAAATCATTGATTTGTCTGGATTTCTATATGGTCATAACTCAGACGTGTGTTTGGTCTATAATGTTAATCTATTTCTTGGCCTTTATTGTCCAAAGACACTAACAAGAGATTAGATAACAATCAAATAACAGATAGTATCCTATATTACAATCAGATTAATCAGTTGATCTCACTTTCCTTTTTAAATCAAAAGACTAGCTGAGCTGAAGATCCATGGACCATCCATTTATAACATTAATGTATTGACCTACAATGACTTGATTTAAAACGTGTACACCAATACAAATTAAGTCGTGGTTTAATAATAGTGTCTTAGTATAATTTTTATTGATGAGGCATTGGTGTTGTTGTTGATAGGTCTATTACTTCAAAATAATATTTGGCATTTTGCAATCGTTTTGTTGTTGTTTTATTAATTACATTATTTATACATTTGACATTCAAAACTGTAAGGTAAAGAAGTAGTCCGCATTGATCGAATTTTCATCTTGAGAATGCATGTAGGCCTCTATATCCCAGCAATTTATAATTCCTTCAAAACACATCTCACTGCACCCTGCATATGTAAAGCCTATATAAGCAGAATCAAAATCATTTTGTAACACCTCAATATTTAGGCCAACGGTGTAGCCTCAACAATGGGACTCATAAAACTTGGCCACAGTTAACTCCAACCCCTATTTTTCTCAAGCTTTGAATACCTTTTTAAACATTGACCTATTAAATGAGACACCCCGCATCTCACGTGAGTGCATGGCACACGCAAATGAGAGTCAGGTTTTATTTTGGCAGGCAGCAGCAAACCTCAATAATATTTTGAAAACAAAGTCAAAAACTTACCCTACCTGAAATAATCCATTTTACAGAAGATCTCTTTGTTTTTGATGTAACAGCTGTTGTGTTGACGCAATGACGTCCGGCAGACAGAACACTCCAGACACCTCACGTGCCAGATCAAGTTATTCACCTGCAAAACAAAACAGTGGTAAAAAAAACTGCTGAAATAATAATAACAACAACAACAACAATAATAATAATAATAATAATAATAATAATAATAATAATAATAATAATAACACATTAATATTCTATTGGTATCTATCCAGTATCCAAACTACCCGTTATATAATATTTCTCAAATATTATGCTATGGACATGCATTCAAATAAATGAATCCAATTGTAGCCAATAATAACCTAATAAACAACAGTATAAGAGCATATATTCATTTAGGCTATTCTGCCCTTTGCAATGAATTTTGTTCCCATAAAAAAACATCCACATCTTAGTTGGTATTACAAAAATAGTATGACATTTCTGATGTTTCTGTCTGTCCGGTAACCTTTAATTCGCTGTTTGATTACGCATGTCATAGGCCATTGGGCCATTTGATTTCAGCTCGATTGTGCACACATAGGCTAGCTAAATCGTGCATAGCCTACATGCAGACCATGCGAAATGTTTGAATATTGTTTGATTTTACTATTGCCTTTAAAGTTAAAATAATTCCTAAACCTTATATTCTGTTGAAGGATAATTCAGATGTAATAAATAATACGATATCTTATAATTGTGCTTTTTTCGATGTTTGTCCCTGTACCAAGTTAAGCAGGCTAATTAAATATCAGCACTAGGTTATTCAAAAGTGATTCTATAATTCGTTCTCCGTGTAAGAAAATGGGCAATGTTCAAAATAAAGGGGTATGTCCTTGCAGTACTAGGTCTAGAATAGATTATTAAACAGACAAACAAATTACAGTGAGTTTTGGTGGAGTGGACCATTGGGTCTGTTTACCTTTATGATCAGCTACGCTATTATTACGACAAAAATCCTATGTATCTTAATATCATTATGCTATAGGTTTTCTAAGTAATTTTTTGAGAGAAGCAAGCAGACATGTTCATATAATTGAAATATAAATAGGCTAGAAAATAACCTATTTCAAAATGAACATGGTTGATGCATTTAATCCTGTCGATTCCTGATATGATAATTCCCACATGCCTCGAGACAGATAGAGGACTAATGATCCTCGTAGTTAAGTAACACACTTCCTGCAGCTCTGCAAAACACACCCAGGCAGTTGTTTTTACTTGGAAGCACGCGAGTGCACGCGAGGCTGGGCGTTCTTGATGTGAAGTTGAAAGACAGAAAAAACATAACGATTCATGATACTGGCCCATAGATCTAGGCTACTGTCCTTTCCTATGTTTAGAATAGAAGTGTATGTCCAAACAGTGGTTCTTCAGAAACCCAAAATTATTTTAGGGTTTCATATTTTGGAGTATGCTGTAAGATATTCATATTAATATTTAAACATGGTCCTACGGAAGATAATGTAGCCAACATGGATGTAGGCTATAGCTTGGGCTAAATACATCAAACATATTATGAAAGTTGTGAAAACAAACAAAAAAGTTAAAAGGGTTTTTAGATCTGTTTACATTTGCACACACAAAAATCCACATGCTCATGCGGTTCACTCTTGCATAGGCAATAACGCGCGCACTCCCACCTTGAGAAGGTATCTGTCCAGGATCTCCAAACCGCAGCTCGCGCACACGTTCTTCCCGGTGGACGGCACGGAGGAGGCGGTGGAAGTAGGCGAGCAGATAGACGGAGTAGAGGGGGGACTCGGGGAGGAGCGCGTGTCCTCTCTCTCCATGTTCGATCTGTGGGATTCTCCGTCGGAGTGAGACTGCACGATAAACAAGACAAGAAGAAGAACATGGATACGTTTTAAGCCCATCTGGACCAACATATTTAAAATATTATAGCCTATGTTTAGCCTAAGCATCTTGAGGCTCGCTATCAAGGTCACCAAAAACTGACATAGGCCACATGCTTTATGGTTTATATAATACTTTACAGGCAATGGACAAGTAGCAATAACATGGCAATAAAACACTGATTCAGATGCCATAATAATAAACAGCATTGCACAAATTGAAAATAACGAATAACTTCTTACCATGACGTGTCCGTGTTTGGCTTCCACACAGCGCGAGGCACCCGGTGCACTCTGCTGCATTCCTGGAGAAATCACCTACAAGACAAGGTTCAACAGCAAGAAGTCGACGTCAACTCGCGGCTAAAGTCCCTTCCATCTCCAGCCATGAAATCATTGAGAGACATTGCAGCCCTGCAGCTATATAAAGCGTCCGAACAATACATCCCGATTTTAACTGTTGTAGGCTATTTAGGGCCCTGCAACAAAAGCCGCCGTTTTAATTAAGCTATTTCAATTTGGATAGATTTTTCTCTGCACTTATCCCATGCCTCTTAAAGTAATCGTATTTTTCTCCCAATACAGGGAAACGAAGAAAAAAAAGGCCTGCAATTACAAATAGCTTGAAATGATCACGATAAGAGGGACCGCGAAGTGTCAATTTCAACTGTCAATCAGAAAAGGCAATGGGCCACCCAAATAATTTCAAATTAGATTTTTAATGGCACTAATTAAAATCGAATTCTTCTCTGGCGAATTGGCATGTTGAAGAGGGTGGAGTGCAAATCACACTATTCATAATAGACGCACGCGCGTGCCTCTTCCTTGCGCAGCTGATCTTTGTACACAACCAGCGATTCTTGACACCACTTTAAGACACAAAAAACAGTTGCAGTTAAGAAAGCAACATGATGACAGCAGACAGAAGATTAGCAGTAAGAGCCCAGTGTAGTTGTATACAATATCAACGAACAATATGTGGTTAACCAGAAAGCAATCGTGCATCTTCAAATACTTTTTATGCATATATTTTACACACAGATTATCATTGTGTAGCCTAGTTTTCTTCACATTACCTGTTTTGCGGGAATTCCTTCGGATAAAACCTGATCTCCCTCTGGTAGAGGGGCCAAAACCTCATTTTTCCAATACATGAAAGCACTTGGTATTCTGATATAGCCTAAGCACTTGGTATTCTGATTTCACTTTCATGCAAAAAAATTGAGCGTCAATGGTATCCTCCGTGCCATGGATCTTCGGGGTTAATACACTTCTTGTTTTGCACCTACAGCGTGTTTTCCTTCTACACCACGATCGACGCAACGGCCTCCCAGCACACACACTATATAAAGCATAAGAAGTTACGCTAGCCTATCTATATGACGGAGCTCGTGGGTGTTGCGGACGGACGGCCAAGTGGAGGTTGCTCGTTAGAACGCGTTATTTAGAACACTTAGTAAAATTCTTCCTTCCACTTTGTTTTCCTCCGTTAGGGATGGAATTGCTGACTACAGGATGTGGATGGGTTTGCAGGTTTGCGCCAGATCTGCAAGAACGCGAGACACAACTAGAGCGGGGCAGGGTACAGTCTCTCCAAGTGCAACTCATCTGAAGTGAAAGTTTAGTTGCGCCCCTTGTTTGGAGGGGGAGGGTAAACTTGTTGTAAAGGTAAAGACTATACGGCTCATGTACACCAACTTTCTGCTATGATGGAGTTTTTTTTCTCAATTGGCAATTTCTGTTAGTAAGAAATAACCTATTAAAAAATGTAAGCAAGTCTGACATTGGATAATGTTGGTTCAGGTTGACGGTTTAATTGAAAAAAATATTTAGGTGTTGATTTGTTTTTATTTTTGTTTAGGCCTATTGTTTTAGAATTCCATAATATATAAGTAATCCATGATATAGATATATATAGTTAGGCTATATATAGTTATATTGTACAAAGTTTACATTAAATCACACCCAAACATAAACAAATATGAATTAAATACATTTTCATTACCTTTGATCACAAGATAAGTAATCAATGTTATATATCTATTAATATATATATGTCTGTCTGGAAATTATTTAATTGGCAATTTTTTTGGTAAACTTATTCAAAAGTGGACAGTCTTGAGAAACATGGCACTTACTCGAATCATTGTTTTTCATTTTGCATAATTAAAACACCATTATTTAATTTATTATTTATTCATGTTATAATTTATTCTATTGGATTCTTGGAGTTTGTGAGACTAAATATACAAAAGATTTCAAACGAGACATACTATTATTATTAGGCCTCAACCTAATGTCAATATATTATTATTATTATTATTATTTAATTGGTTGCTTATTTGATTATTATTGTTATTATGGGGGTATTTATTATAGCTGATTAGAAAAAGATTCAACTAAACGTAAATGTTTGATTCTGCAAGAGCATCTACTGCAAATTTGACACAAAATAAATAGATATGACATCTCATTCTCACCCCAAATATATAGGCTTTCTAATCCAATAATCTAATAATGTCTCGATGGCGAATCTGTAGATGCTTTGTTCAGCTATGAAAAAGACAACTTCAATGGAACACAGGCAGTGGAACACAGCCCTACAGCATCAAGAATAAAAAATACCAACTAGCCGTATAGTTAATTTATATATATTTGAAATGATCGATAATCAGGACATCGTTTGATTTCCAATATACAGAACACGGCTGACTTGAGACCAGCGCGCGTAACTGGAACTTTTGGCGATAAATCTGTCACCTTCACCGACATCACCGCAATGAAGGCGCGCGCATCTCCCGTTCAAAATGAGCATCATGTAGAGTGCTACCAAGAGTTTGGGATTTTACTAAATTTCTTTCGATCATATCAAGGTTTAGCTATAATTTCACTGTACATTTTTAAGACATTTGAAAGCAGATTTTTTTTAAAGCAGAGCCTAATAACTCATCCAATCTGGTGATTAATTACGCACTGCAGGTATCCGTTTGAATTAAAGGAATCTCACAGTTCTTGAAATTGTTAACCTGCAACATGATCGCTAAATGAATCATCATATTGAAAAATACTGTATACATAAAAATATTCTGAGGTATTGTCTGTTTCTTACCATTCAGGTTGCAAGCAGAGTTATCATGCGCCATTCATGAGGGCATCAAACGGACACCCACATTTCAGCTGCCTGCAACACATTTAATGGGAGTGCGGTGATGCAGCAGAACAATGTGATATCAAGTGACTCATTTCTTCATTGAAGAAAATCAAATTCGCGTTTTTTGATGAGACTATACTGAGGACTAGTATTACATATAAACCTCATTGAGGATTGCGCTACTGTGCATAACATTAATGAGGAGTGGTAAATAGCGATGAGAATCTCCTACACTAGTAATACCAGATTCTTCTAACCATTTTGGCAGATCTACAAATTATGGGATAAATAAAATAGTCCTGTAAACACTTCCAAAAAAACAACATGTACGCTACAATACACAAAAATATGGTCATTACACTGAAACCAAAAGGAGAACAAATATAATTTGTTGTTTTTCAACATGCGTGGGTTGAGCTTTTCTGGGTTTACTGATGGAACCATGCATGGGTTGAGCTTTTCTGGGTTTACTGATGGAACCATGCATGGGTTGAGCTTTTCTGGGTTTACTGATGGAACCATGCATGGGTTGAGCTTTTCTGGGTTTACTGGGTGTCATAGAATTAATAAAAATAGTTATATTGTACAAAGTTGCCATCAAATCACACTCAAACATAATCAAATACGAATTAAATACATTTTCATGACCTTTGATCACAAGAAACACAGAAAGGAGACAACGACTCAGTTTTATGCCATGTCTTCCCATTTGTGACTACAGACCAACATAACATGCTAAATAAGGGACTCAGACTGAGCATGTATAGGAAACATTATATGATCCATTTAATCAGGGCCTATATTCACAAAGCATCCCAGAGTAGGAGTGCCGATCTAGGCTTCCCTTTTCCATTATAATGAATAAGAGGGGGGACCTGATCCTAGATCAGCACTCCCTTCTCTGAGAAGCTTTGTGACAACGTGCCCTGGAAAATTGGTAATTATTAAGGGTAATAATGTCATCAAACTCCCAACACTGAACGGCAAAGAGAGAAATGACACAATACAATAAACAACAGTAAGAGAAATGGAAGGTGTGATATTGTACACATCATACAATATACAGCCGTTAAAAGTTACAGAAAATAAGATTAGAAAAACAACACTCCTCAAATTAAAAATCCCTCCTCTCCCAAGTAAGAATACACACTAGGTCAAAATAAAACAGACAGTGTGAGGATTTTACCTGTCAAATGGCTTGATTTGCTGTCTGCCCAAACCTGAAGCAATACAGTACTGAGGTTTGGTTTGGTGGCCTGATCTCTCTCCCACTGTAGCCTGGTCCCAGATCTGTTTGTGCTCTTGCCAACTCCATTGCAGTCATTGTCAAGCCAAACATGACAATGAATGACGAGGAGTTGGCATGATAGTACAAACAGACGGGCACTCAGGCTACTTCCACTACAGTGTAATAATAACTTAACAATTACACCATAATCCAAATTCCAGTAACTTCACCAACATTCCCAAGTTTTCCACAAATCCTGGTTGGAGAATTCTGGATTTCCTGCGTATTCCCTTCTGATACTGGGAATCTTCAAACTGGGATTTCTGGAAAACCTGGACATTTTGGGAAAGTTACCGGAATTGTTCAAGCCTAGGTGTTGGATGGTCTGTCTCCGTCCCATTTGTGTCATCTCCGGAACTTTCGGAAGGGTCTGCTGTAGGGCTGTGGGAGTTTCTTCTCTGGGGGCTTGTTGTACATGTAGGCTGAGGGGCCCTGGTATCTCCTCTCCATCTGGGTTCTCCTCCATCATCTGAAGCTTGGCCTCCATCGCACAGATCGTCGCACTCCTACTTTGTATGGGAGAGAGGGGAAAAGAGAGAGTGAGTGGGTGGGAGAGCAAAAGAGAGGGAGAGAGTGACTGTGAGAAGGAGAGTTATAGAGAGAAGGCGAGAGTGACTGTGAGAAGGAGAGAGTTATAGAGCGAGGGAGAGAGTGACTGTGAGAAGGAGAGAGTTATTGAGAGAAGGAGAGAGTGACTGTGAGAAGGAGAGTGTGGCTGTGAGAAGGAGAATGTGACTGTGAGAAGGAGAGTGTTATAGAGAGAGGGAGAGAGGGACTGAGAAGGAGAGTTAGAGAGAGCAGGAGAGTGACTGTGAGAAGGAGAGAGTTAAAAGAGAGAAGGAGAGAGTGACTGAGAAGGAGAGAGTTATAGAGAGAAGGAGAGAGTGACTGTGAGAAGGAGAGAGTTATTGAGAAAAGGAGAGAGTGACTGTGAGAAGGAGAGAGTTATAGAGAGAGGGAGAGAGTGACTGTGAGAAGGAGAGAGTTATAGAGAGAGGGAGAGAGTGACTGTGAGAATTAGTTATAGAGAGAAGGAGAGAGTGTCTGTGAGAAGGAGAGAGTTATAGAGAGAAGGAGAGAGTTATAGAGAGAAGGAGAGAGTGACTGTGAGAAGGAGAGAGTTATAGAGAGAGGGAGAGAGTGACTGTGAGAAGGAGAGAGTTATAGAGAGAGGGAGAGAGTGACTGTGAGAATTAGTTATAGAGAGAAGGAGAGAGTGTCTGTGAGAAGGAGAGAGTTATAGAGAGAAGGAGAGAGTTATAGAGAGAAGGAGAGAGTGACTGTGAGAAGGAGAGAGTTATAGAGAGAGGGAGAGAGTGACTGAGAAGGAGAGAGTAAGTAGAGAGGGAGAAGTGACTGTGAGAATGAGTTATAAGAGAAGGAGAGAGTTATAGAGAGAAGGTGAGAGTGACTGTGAGAAGGAGAGTTATAGAGAGAAGGAGAGAGTTATAGAGAGAAGGCTAGAGTGACTGTGAGAAGGAGAGAGTTATAGAGAGAAGGAGAGAGTCACTGTGAGAAGGAGAGAGTTATTGAGAAAAGGAGAGAGTGACTGTGAGAAGGAGAGAGTTATAGAAAGAGGGAGAGAGTGACTGTGAGAAGGAGAGAGTTATAGAGAGAAAGAGAGAGTGACTGTGAGAAGGAGAGAGTTATAGAGAGAGGGAGAGAGTGACTGTGAGAAGGAGAGAGTTATAGAGAGAGGGAGAGAGTGACTGTGAGAATGAGTTATAGAGAGAAGGAGAGAGTGTCTGTGAGAAGGAGAGTTATAGAGAGAAGGAGAGAGTTATAGAGAGAAGGAGAGAGTGACTGTGAGAAGGAGGGAGTTATAGAGAGAGGGAGAGAGTGACTGTGAGAAGGAGAGAGTTATAGAGAGAGGGAGAGAGTGACTGTGAGAATGAGTTATAGAGAGAAGGAGAGAGTTATAGAGAGAAGGAGAGTGACTGTGAGAAGGAAGGAGTTATAGAGAGAAGGAGAGAGTGACTGTGAGAAGGAGAGAGTTACAAATCCAAAGGCATTGTGGGGAAGCTGAACGGCACAGCAATATAACTGTGCATTCATTCCTCTCAAAACCACCTCCACGTGAGTGATGCAATGTGAACCTGTGGAGAGAAGAAGAACCACAACACACATCAGTACACCAGAAACAACTCATATCAGAGCAGGTTCAGTAATCAGTTAGGATCAATAGGATGCATTTTGAATAACTGTCATGATCACCATGTCCTGGTTTCAAAAAGCATAAGTTTGCTTTCTGATCCAGTATGAATGAATGGATGGATGAATAAATGGATGGATGAATGGATGAATGAAAACCTTTATTCCTCAACGTAACATGGAAATAAGTATTACATTGAAAGTAAACACACACCCATCATTGTTTCTCACGCCAGACTACCTAACAACACACTAGTCATAATAGACAATGGACATACATTTATGATCATGACCCACAAATACTCCCTTCCCTCCATTTGGCAAGGCTTTCTATAAGAATGTATCCTATACGTTCCGGATAGGCAAGCGCCACAGGTCTATTTTCTGCATGTATGATCTGTCTCATATTTCTCTCTTTAGATTATTTAGATTAGTGCCTCTTCCCTCCATTCTCTGTAAGTACACGGGTTCAGAGGTCAGGCTCAGAGATGAGGCAATCAGCCTCCGAAGTCATGGAAAAACTAAATGATCCAGAGGCTGAAGACAAAGCAGAAGAGGATCTCCAGTCCATGACCTTGGTCAAGGTGACTTGACTTCACATGACACAGATAGATCATGACAATCACAAGGAACAGCAATTGCATGCAAATCAATAGGCTATATCCTTGAATGACCATTACTTGATCATCACATTAGAAATGTTCTAATCAGAATGGCTCAATGAGTCAGACACGGCAACAGCCCAGTTACTTTCCTATTTTTTATCTATCTTATGTGTGTGTAGGGGGGAGGGGGTCCGGACCCAGACTTGTCTGCTGCTTGTTGTTGTCAAAGGAGGGCTGCACTGTTAACCTTGACCTGAGCTTGGTGTCCCTTTCCACTCTGGGGTGGGGGGTGGTGGGGGTGCACAGGAGGGGTGTGATTCGGCCCTATACAGGATTTCCTTAGTCCACACGGCAGCTGCCTATTGTTAGGGAAAGACCAGTGTTGCTGGAGTCCAAGAGATCTCCCCTGGCCCGGCCTAGAGGGACAGACACACCGGCTGGCTGGACCACTGTCCTGTCCTACACTACTGCCTTTCAGCTAATGTCCTACACTACTGCCTTTCAGCTAATGTCCTACACTACTGCCTTTCAGCTAATGTCCTACACTACTGCCTTTCAGTTAATGTCCTACACTACTGCCTTTCAGCTAATGTCCTACACTACTGCCTTTCAGCTAATGTCCTACACTACTGCCTTTCAGCTAATGTCCTACACTACTGCCTTTCAGCTAATGTCCTACACTACTGCTTTCAGCTAATGTCCTACACTACTGCCTTTCAGCTAATGTCCTACACTACTGCCTTTCATAGTCTAATGCTGCCTTGCTGTACCACACTACTGCCTTTCAGTTCATGTCCTACACCCTTACCATGACCATTTATGAACTGTACTACATGCTGCCATTGTGCTGTACCCAACAACACTCACTCACACCACAAGGCAAACACACAGCTGCATGCAGGACGCTAACATACAGGCTAACTCTGTACAACTTAATGACCTGTATTGGGCTAGCCTTGCACCCTAACAGAGGAACCCACAATGAATCACAGGCCATGCTGCTGTGTGTGTGTGTGTGTGTGTGTGTGTGTGTGTGTGTGTGTGTGTGTCTGTGTGTGTGTGTGTGTGTGTCTGTGTGTGTGTGTGTGTGTGTGTGTGTGTGTGTGTGTGTGTGTGTGTGTGTGTGTGTGTGTGTGTGTGTGTGTGTGTGTCTGTGTGTGTCTGTCTGTGTGTGTGTGTGTGTGTGTGTGTGTGTGTGTGTGTGTGTGTGTGTGTGTGTAAAGGCCAGAGGTTTCACAGGGACCCTTACCTTTACCTGTGCGTGTGCCCAGTGCACCACCAGCTTTTTGGACAGGGCCAGCTTCCCATTCAGACAATGGATTACCCTCCCTGCTTCCTGGAGATTGGAAAAAGTGTATGTGTTTGATCCTCATCAAAATCATAATTTCACCATCAGAAACTAGGTCAGTATCATTACATTTACATTTTAGTCATTTAGTAGACGCTCTTATCCAGAGCGACTTACAGTTAGTGAATGCATACATGTTTTTATTTATTTTAATTTTTTCATACTGGCCCCCCGTGGGAAACAAACCCACATCCCTGCTGGCCAAACCCTCCCCTACCTTGGACGACGCTGGACCAATTGTGCGCCGCCCATGGGTCTCCCGGTTGTGGCCGGCTGCGACAGAGCCTGGACTCGAACCAGGATCGCTAGTGGCACAGCTAGCACTGCGATGCAGTACCTTAGACCACTGCGCCACTCGGGAGTCATTACATTACATTGTAGTCATTTAGCAGACACTCTTATCCAAGACCTCTTACACAAATCATTATATCATTATTCCCTTTCATAGAGTGATGACAACAGAGACAATAATGGCTGATGATGTGTGTGTGTGTGTGTGAAGCTAATACCAAACCCACTGGCTCCAGGTCATCTATAAATCACTGCTAGGCAAATCCCCATCTTACCTTAGCTCAGTGGTCACCATAGCAACACCCACCCGTAGTCTGCGCTCCAGCAGGTATATCTCACTGGTCATCCCCAAAGCCAACACCTCCTTTGGCCGCCATTCCTTCCAGTTCTCTGCTGCCAATGACTGGAACGAACTGCAAAAATCTCTGAAGCTGGAGACTCTTATCTCCCTCACTAACTTTAAGCGTCAGTTGTCAGAGCAGCTTACCGATCACTGCACCTGTACACAGCCATTCTGAAATTAGCCCACCCAACTACCTCATCCCCATATTGTTATTTATTTTGCTAATTTGCACCCTAGTATCTCTATTTGCACATCATCTTTTGCACATCTATCATTCCAGTGTTAATACGAAATTGTAACTATTTTGCACTATGGCCTATTTATTGCCTTACCTCCATAACGTACTACATTCGCACACACTGTATATATATTTTCTGTTGTATTTTTGACTTTATGCTTTGTTTACCCCATATGTAACTCTGTGTTGCTGTTTTTAAATCGCACGGCTTTGCTTTATCTTGGCCAGGTCGCAGTTGTAAATGAGAACTTGTTCTCAACTGGCTTACCTGGTTAAATAAAGGTGAAATAAAAAAATTATTTAAAAAAATAAACATACAGTTCCTCTGAGAAACACCCTGGGGACTGAGTCCCATCACACTTGAGACAGTAATAGTGAACAAGCGATCTTCATCTTACCATTGGTGGAGCCCTGAAGAGCCCTATTAGGTTTGAGACAATATCTTCATGGGGAGAGATGGGAAATGGTCGGCTATACTGTACCTCTTGTCTATGGTGTCTATAGCTTTTGACTTACCCTTACCTTTCACGTTTGTGAGCTAATTGCCAAATGCACATTTATATGAAGTAGAGACTATCTTTTCTTGGAACTGAAAGATGTGAAATGGTTGGTTTGGTGTTGTACCTCTTTGGTGTGGAAGTTAACGAAGCAGTATCCTCGGGGCTGGCCCTCCATTGGTCCAGACTTGTGGAACAGGAAGTCAAACAGTTTCACCTTCCCAAACCTCTCCAGCAGCTTCACCAGGTGGTACCTGTAGATGGAGGGAGAAAAACACACACACACACACAACTGCGGTTAAAGCATATTGGGCCAGTAACCAAACGGTTGCTGGTTCGAATTCCCGAGGCGAATAGGTTAAAAATCTGTCGATGTGCCCTTGAGCAAGGCACTTAACCCTAATTACTCATGTAAGTCGCTCTGGATAAGAGCTTCTGCTAAATTACTAAAATGTCCCCGCAAAAAATAATGTCTATTGCTTTTGATTTGCTGTTTCAAAGTACTTGGCTTGGATAAATTAAGTAACTTTAAAGTAACATTTTGGGTCACTTTAAAGTAACATTTTGTGGTCACAAGTAATCTCCAAACACATTGGGAAAGATTAACATAAAGGCTAAATAAAATGCCAGAATAATCGGATTAAGGAAATAATGGCTAAATGTAATTCTCAAAACAGGCAGCAGGCCTATATGCCTTTATGAACGTCAGATGTCTACTATCAACTAAGAACATGATAACATAATGGGTTAATATTCCTTTGTCACAGACAGTGCATCCTATTCGTAGCATATACATCATACATCCATGCAACATACCAACAGTATATTAGGCTTCCCTGTCAACTGAACCCGATTAGAATGACAGGTCTCTTAACACCTTTTTAGGTACAGTAAATCTTTTATCCACACAATGCAGAGGATATGGCAGCAGGACAACGACAAAATAAAACAGAGGAAGCCTGAATTCCCAACAGACTCTAATTCAATAAAAACATCCACTACTGTACAGTACACTGCTGCGTGCATTAGGCTGGCTGCGGTGTTGTGCTGCTGTAACTGCCCCTGGCCTGTTAGCCTATAGAAGTCGTGGGAAATTGAACACGTCCACCTTCCATTCGGAAGGTTATTAGCAGTGGGATTCATTCTCACTAACATCCAGGATCCATTAATAATATTAATGGTTAGTGCTATCCGAGATACTTCGGAAATCCCTACCCTTACCGTAAACATTTAAAATGTAAACTTCAATGGGGTAACGTCAGAGTTGGTACATCCCAAGGATCCCAGATAGCAAGAGCCTAATATTAATTGTTCGACCACCTGACTGTGAGGAGGTCTAGGCTATAGCCTCATTGCCCTGTAAACACGTGTTAGACTAGGAGGAGTCCTCTACAGTTGTACATGCTGTACTAGACCAGCCCGGCCTTGTACGACTCATTGGATTAATTAGTCATAAACATGGCTAACAGCTGTACCAGTGATACGGAGGGAACTTAAGACGCTTCCTTCAGACACAAAAGACTCAACATTTTGTGAAGATTAGGGACTACATACATTCTACACGCATCCTGTGACGTTTAAAGGGCTAATCCATACCCGAGAAATAAAAATCATGAAACTCCTGTCAATTTGGTGAAAGCCTATGTTCTATCAGTGGGTCAAATAAAACGTAGTGCTGCACTCGCTCTGGGCAAGAGATGAACTGCAAGTTGAACTCGTTGGGATGGACTCCTAAATTGACAGTGAAGTTTGTTTAGGCGATTTTACCGCTAGCTAGCTACTTCACATGCTGACATTGACTTTGGTATTGTTGTGTGCAGCTATGTTTGCTAGCTAGCGAGCTAGCCAGTCAGCCCAGAGAGCGAGAGAGAGCATTTAATTGTGGGTTTTGTAGTCAACTTGAGCTGCAACGGATTTCCACAACGATTTTCTCATGTTGCTACCAACCTTGCTATAACAAAATTAAATATTTGTTCACAAAAAACATTGTTTTCACATATTAGTGTTATTTAACATTGTTTAACACTGTTAATCATAGGAATTAGTGGTTTGGGGTGGATTATCCCTTTAAGTAGAAGTGATTATGAGAGTTCTCTCAAACATCATCTACAGTAGCCTAGAACAGAGACAGAAGTTAAGAAAACCGTAATATACTGTATGTTTACACCAAGCTGTAATGTAATGGGGGAGCAGTCTGAACAAGAAGCAGACAATTTCATATGTCCATGTCAACGGTCTGTATTGGTGGGCAGCCTAGCATGCAGTCTGTGCGTAGGAGAGTGCATTCTCTTTGTTGTCCAGGCCAAATATCACTGTCCATGCACGTCATGAGTCTATGCTGCACGCTACTCATTCAGGGGGTCATTATAAGAACATCTCCAGCGTAGACTGGGCATGACCAGATCTTGAATAGAAAGGTTACCTTGTCATACAGTCATAATTTAACCTTTATATTCATAATCTCTTATGGAATCCTCATTCTAAAACGGGTAGTCGTTGTGTCATAATCATTAGTGATGGGTTGACTCACAACCAGCAAGCAGTCCTGCGGTTATATCAGCGGGGCGGGCGGGTTTAGGGTCATGCAATATTGTGTGGATAAAGGGCGGGTGGGTAGCGGGCGGGTTGAATAAAAATAAAACAATGCCTTAAAAAATCCATAAATCTATAATTATTTTGAAATGTATATCTAAAGGCTACATGGAAGTTTTTCTTTCATTATGTTAGGCTATCTGGCATTAGTGCGTAAGACTAAGCTTTAGGGCCTAACTGTATGCGCCAAATAGCCTACACGCCAATTGCCAAATGCTTTTGGGAACAGGCAGAAAAAGTTAACATCTATCCATGGAGGCAAAAAGGACAATGTGGGAGTTTAATTCAATAAGAGAAAAGCTGCGAAATGGAGAGTTGAAAATACAGAGAAGGGAGTGCCAGAAAAGTTATGTTTGGGAAAGATTTGGTGAAGTGATAAAAGAGGATGATAGCAGTGCCGACCGGCTATGTTTTGTTATGTGACAGTCACAAGATGGACTTCAAATAGGCTTATGGCACATCAAGGGAACTGTAGCCTACTGTTCAGATGGGTAAAATGGAAACTGAAATCTGGACACTGATTGTAGGTCTTTAAACTCTAACATATCCTTAATATTAACTCCTGCAGTATTAAACATTTCTTGCAGTAAAATTATACACGAAATGTAGGCTACATTTTGACTCGGGAAAAGGAGTGGAGAAATATGATTTATTTATTTCAGCATCTTGAGTGAATGCGAATGCGCAGTAAGATACCATCTGTGGAGGTCCTATCTTTATCAGCATCATCACAGCTGATAGTAGGCCATTTCAACCATATAAAATATGCATCCAAGCCGAACTGAAATCTTATCAAAAACATGTTGGGTCATTTTCACAGCTTTCTATTTCCTCACAACCGGTCAAACTGACATTTTGCACAGAATATCTTTCCCGTTTTTTTCTCCCGGTCCCTAAAAGGCTTTGCTCCGAGAAAGAAGCAGAGATGACAGGGAAAACTTTACAGATGTCAACTAGATTGAAGCATTCATTCTATCGATTTATGACATTATTCTGGTGAGCAAGGGTTTATTTAGTCTTCTAGGACAACATATATCCTAATGACAGAAGAGAAGCTGCATGTATCTAATTATACACAAGTTGACTAACAAATAGCCTACCAAATTGTCGGAAATTATAAGCAAAAACATATCTAAATCAGGCAAAAAAGAATCATTCCCCCCCTGTCAAATGGTTCTGTCTTCTCTTGACTATCCTACAGCGCATTTTCTATATTAGCGGGTTATATCACATATAGTTGGGCGATTGCGAATGGATTATTAGCAATTGCGGCCATGTGCAGGTGAACAAACAGCTGCCCCGCGCACCAGTAGTCGTCACAGGTATGTTGGAAGCATGACATAAAGCTACAGGTAGCCTGACTGCCAAAATAAAGGAAACACCAACTTAATAGGGCGTTGGGCCACCATGAGCCAGAATAGCTTCAATGCATCTTGGCATAGATTCTCCAAGTGTCTGCAACTCTATTGGAGGGATGCAACATCATTCTTCCATGAGAAATTCCATAATTTGGTGTTTTGCTGATGGTGGTGTAAAACTCTCTCAGGCACCGCTCCAGAATCTCCTAAATTGTTCAATTGGTTTGAGATCTAGTGACTGTGACGGCCATGGCATATGGTTTGCATAGTTTTTATGCTCACCAAACATCAAACCATTCAGTGACCACTCCTGCCCTGTGGATGGGGGCATTGTCATCCTATGGGTAAATAGCCATGGTAGCCAAAACAATGGCCAAAACAACGGCCTACCCAGCATTTTTGTACATGACCCTGATGGGATGTTAATTGATTAATGAACTCAGGAACCACATGTGGAAGCACATGCTTTCAATACACTTTGTACCCCTCATTATTTTGGCAGTTACCTGTACATTGGCGATGTTGAATTCCGCACAGTGTAATAGAGCCTCAAGTCAGGCATTAGCCGAGGTCTAACAGGTATTTATTGATCTCAAGTTTAGACCCAAGGTCTGATATGACACATGTTCCCTTTTGAAGACTAATCACTTAGTTTAAAGAAATATCTAAATTATTTCAGAATGTACCGAAATTACAATGTGAATGTCCCCCCCCCCCCCCGAGTGTGGACTGGGATTGTGTTGTGTACAACAGAGATGCTTGGGCCACAGTTGCTTTTATAGTTTTGTCCAGCACGTTTAAGTTATTTTTAATCATAGAAAGGTATGTAGCCTAGGAGGGGGAGTCCTGGCCTGCATCCCAAATGGCTCCCTATTTAGTGTACTACTTTTGACCAGGGACAACTCAGGTCAAAAGTAGTTCACTATATAGGGAATAGGATGCCATTTGGACCACAGTCCTGGACTGGATGTATTAATGTCTTCCCTTGGCCTCCCTGGAGCTTTCCCTCCAAGGAGAATTTCTCACTTTCCCAGACTCCACCCTCTGCAGGCTGGAATGGTGGGTCTTCCTGCGACCTGCTGCTGGCACAGATTTAGGAATTGATAGTGGACTGATACACCGGGAAGGACCACGGCAGGGGACGGACCACTTCTGGCCTTTAACAAGACCACAATGCACTTCTCCTGGGGGCCATAAAGCGAGGAGGTAGGGGGAGGTGGAGGGGAGGAAAGGTCCGGTGAGGGGAAGAGTGATCTCCTTGCTTGAG